ATAAGGCCTCACTACATAGCCTCCATGCATGATCCCATCTAATCTTCCCAGTGCTGAGATAATGAGTATATACCAACTACAATGCTCAGCTAAAGATAAAATATTCACAAACACCCCATAGGTGTTTGTGCCTAAGTGTATACATGTGCACTGTTGTACATGTAGGTGCAGAGGTTGGGATCAAAAGAGAGTTCTAGATCCTTTGAAGCTGGAGTCATAGGCAATTGTAATTTAAAAAGCCCCGCTAGCTGGGCGTTGGTGGCACACACCTTTGATCCCAGCACTTGGGAGGCAGACACAGGCAGATCTCTGTGAGTTCAGGCCAGCCTGGTCTAAAAAATGAGTTCCAGGACAGACAGGGCTGTTACACAGAGAAACCCTGTCTTGAAAAACAAAACAAAAGAATGACTCTGCCCGCCAGTTTGACAACCCAACAAGAAATGGGCAAAAGTGTGTATAGACTCTTCTCCAAAAAAGATACACTAAGAGTCCTATCATGAGTCAGCAGAGAAATGCAAATGAAAACCACATTGAAGCCGGGCAGTGGTGGCCCATGCCTTTAATCCCAGCACTCCGGAGGCAGAGGCCGGTGGATCTCTGTGAGTTCGAGGCCAGCCTGGTCTCCAGAGCGAGTGCCAGGATAGGCTCCAAAGCTACAAAAAACCAAAAAGCCCCACTAGATAGAGAGGGGTGGAGGAGTTTTTTATTGGGGAAAGTGAATGGGGGAAAGGAGGAGAATGAAGAGGAGATACTTGCCTCTGGGGACAGGAGTAGCAGAAGGGGGGGGGGGGCAGAAACAGGCAGAGAAAGAGATGGGAAGTAGGCAGGGCCCTTTTAAAAGGGAATGTTGTGAATCTGCACAGGTGGTACTCTTTGTGGCTGCAGCTGAGGGCATATCCTGTCAGACCCCCAAGAGCAGGCCAGTACCAACAGCTATAAGCAGTTTGATATGAATATGCAGGCCTGCCCAAAGAGAGTCTTTAAAGAAACAAAACACCTCCAGGCATGAGTGGTATTGCACATGCAAGGCAGAGGAATGTTTCAAGCATTTAATGAGTTAATTTATATTACTTTTAAAAGATTTATTTATTTATTATATATACAGTGTCTTGCTTGCATGACAGAAGACACCAAATCTCATTACAGATGGTTGTGAGCCACCATGTGGTTGCTGGGAATTGAACTCAGGACCTCTGGAAGAGCAGCCAGTGATCTTAACCTCTAAGTCATCTCTAAATGCCGTGTTAAAGTATTCTAGGTAACAGCATCTAGATCAGTCATTATTATCTCAGCAAAAGCTCCTCAGAGGAATAAATAAAGATTACAAACCAAGAGCCACACAGTGAGGTGTATGAGTGATGAGGGTTACAGGGAACTGGAAGGCCTGTCCAATAAGACAGCCTAGCCTCTGACCTGGTACCACACTCAGAAGATTCCCTACACTCCGGTTCAGTGAAGAGACGCAAGGGTGCTGTTACTTTTTGTCAGTTTGACACAAGCAGTGTTGCCTGGGAGGAGGAGCCTGTAGGCAAGTCTGAGGAGGAAGACTTTCTTAATTGAATGACCAATGTGAGGGCCAGCCCCTCTAGGTGATGCCATCCCTGGGCAGGTATTTCTGGGTTGTGTAAAAAGCAATGTTCCTCCATGGTCTCTGCTGTTAATTCCTGCTTCCAAATTCAGGCCCTGAATTTTTGCCTTCAGTACTGACTATAAACTATAATCTGAAATGAACCCATTCCTCCTCAAGATACATCTGGTTGTAGTGTTTATCACAGAAACAGAAACTGAACTAAAACAACTAGCAGACTTAGATATCCTCTAACAACTGGCTAAGGAAGGCAACTGGCTAAGGAAGGATCTGACAACTCATTTCTTCAGGTGTGATTGTTCCTTAGCTTAGCGTGGTCAATCTTTCCCCAAACAAACAATGCCACCTTTGGCATTTCTTGATCTAGGCAGCATAATAAAAAAATAAAATAAATTTAAAAAATAAGGCAACAGTTAGGCATGGTGACACAATCCTCATTATTGCAGCAACTGGGGGTTTAGGGGTTGAGGCAGGAGAACTACCATGAGTTCCAGGCCAGCTAAGGCTATACAGCAGTATCTTATTTCAAAAAACACAACCAAACAAAACCACAAGTTGGCAATAAGTTAGCCAGCTTACCTACATACAGCTTCTACCACAGAATAAGCGACTTGTTAGGCAAGGTCCATAACAGAAGCCTAAACCTGGAAATGGTTACAGAATCAAGAAACCTTTTGAAGGTCGGCAACTTATTATATGACATAGATCCATCAATCTGAGTTCTAGTCACAACAGCATGATCGCCCAGATTGGCCAAAGGCAATAGATGAGAACGAAGTTTAGAGGAGTGAGTGAGGGGGCCCAATGATGCAGGCCTGGTGACCTGAGTATGGTCCCTTGAACCTACATTAAGGTGGAAGGAGAAAATGGATACCACAGGTTGGCCTCCAGCCTACACGTGTGCATGATGGCGTGCGCGCACGCGTACACACACACACACACACACACACACACACACACACACACACACACAAAAAGGATTGATAGACAATAAGAAGGCAGCACAACAACCATAAGAAATGGATACCGCCAGGAGTTGGTGATGCACGCCTTTGATCCCAGCACTCGGGAGGCAGACACAGGCAGATCTGTGTGAGTTCGAGGCCAGCCTGGTCTACAGAGCGGAGTGCCAGGACAGCCTCCAAAGCTACACAGAGAAACCCTGTCTCAAAAAACAAAACAAAACAAAAACAAAAACAAAAGCTACTGCATCATGGAAACACTTCCTCAGTTGAGAAAATCACCACAGAGATCTCATCCCAACAACAGCCCTTCTCTCAGCCTCAGGAGCCTGAACTAAGTCTCTGCACATCTTCCCCTGAGGTGGAACTCAGTGGCCTTGAAGACAAGCCATGGGAGCTTCATGATGGGGGTTACTGCTCTCCGTGTATTCCTTCCTTAAAGGTCTAGAAGTCAGCTGGGGATGGTAGTTTATGACTATAATCTCAGTACTTAAGAGGTGGGGGCAGGAGACTAGCCTGGGACACACACACATACACAGAGAGAGAGAGAGAGAGAGAGAGAGAGAGAGACCCAGCCTCAAAAGATAACAACTGATAATGAAAAATAAGATCCAGATGCTGTTTCTTCGATGCCTAAATAACCAGAAGGTTGCAAACAGCCAAGCAGCCTCAATAGTTTGTTTGAAACAGACTTTCACACTATTTGCCAGGCGGACTTTGGCCTCAGAGTGATCCTCCTACCTTCAGCTCCCTAGTGTTAGGATAACAACCATAACCACCACAACTCTTATTGGTTTGAAAAGACTTACTTACCTAAGCATATGTGATTGAACTCCCATTTCCGTAACTAAAACAAAATTTATAATAGGTTTCAAAGAAACCTATTTTATTTTTGTTCAAGAAACTCACTTTTAGAGGCTTAGTCATTGCCCAGATATAGTAGTAAGGCCCTGATCAAACATCCCCACAACAAGCACAGTTATCAAGCAGTTTCTTTCCTCTCTGAGATGACTAGAATGCCAGTCACTATGCCTACCATAAACCATGCACTCTTCTCTATTAACCAGCAACATCAATTACTACCAAAGTAAAGTAGCTTACGAACATTTTACAGATGTGAAAACAAAGGCACAGAAAAGTGATGTGACTTAGTTACAGGCTATAGGAATGGCAGTAGAATTAAGATACAGTTCTAGGAAATTTGGCTTGAGACAGGGTTTCTCTGCATAGCCCTGGATGCCCTGAAATTCACTCTGTGGGCCAGGCTGGCTTCTGTTTCCTGAGTTCTGGGATTAATGGTGTATGCGTGTGCCACAGCACACATGTGAGGTTAGAGCATATCAGGTTATCAGGCTTGGCAGGAGGTGAGCATCTTGATAGCCCACCCACAGCCCAAGCTCTAGGATACACTGCCATTTTGAGAGTATGGTCGGTTGATTCCACAAGCAAGGACTTGATTCCATAATCAAGTCATCAAATCAAGGCATCAAACACTTGAGTACATAAAAACCACATATTCACACATAACGACCAGAACAACCACTTCTACTCAACTCATGTGCTATGTGACATCGCAAGCTTGAATGTATTAAGATACTACACCTCTGGAACTATTATTAAGGGAAAACCCTTAAAACTAAGGCCTGACAAGCAAGGTTAAATAAATAGGAACTAGAGAGATGGTTCATCAGTTAAAAACTCTGGATGCTCTTGCAATGGACCTGGGTCCAATACCGTCACCCACATGCTGATTCATAATCAAATGAAACTCTAGTCCCAAGGGATTCCTTTTTCCGCCTCTGAGAGTACCAGGCATGCATGTGGTACACAGGAATAGGATCAGGCTAAATATCTATTAAAGTAAAATTTAAACTAAGGTAATTAAAACAATTTTTAACATCAAAAAAAGAAAACAAAACAAACCCCATACTTTTTCTTGTAGCCGTGATCGAGAGCAGAGCTTCTAACATTTATATTTTCTGTTCTTCATATTAATTACTTCATGCATAAGAGCCCCAAGATTTTGGGAAAACAAAACAAAGGCTGGAAAGTGAAGGCACAGGCAGGTGGAAGCCTGTGAGTCTGACGTCAGGCAGGGTTACACAGTAAGACCCTGACACAAAAACCAAAAACCAAAAACAGAAGTTGGGTACGGTGGTGGTAGTGTATCTAAGTGCTCTGGAAGAAGCAAGAGGCAACTTCCACTACATAGGAAGTTCAAAGCTAGTCAGGGATACCAGAGACTGTCTCAAAAACAAACAACTCTACAAGGAGATCACAAACCTATCCCTGGACAGGTAAACAGAACAGATAATCTACAAAGTTAGCTCTATGAATTCCCATTCAGAATTTTGAACAGTTTAGATCAGTGCCACCAAAACATCCAATACATGGTTTTAGTTTATTTCCTCTCTAGTCTATCACCGTTGACAGGTGTTAGAAATACTCACAGGCAAGCTGGAGGGTCTTGACTGAAGACTCAAGTTCATATCTTCTTGCCCCCCTTTACTGGAGGTCATTGAGGGGGCTGAGGATGCCTGAGACCCAAATGAATCTTGAGAAAGCTCCTGTAAGAAAAACAAAAAAGCCATGAAAGCCTATCCCACATGGTGGCACACACATTTCATCTCAGCACCTGGGAGGCAGAGGCAGGCGGGTCTCAAAACAATAACAGAGGGGGGGGTAGAGGAGAAAGAAAGAGAGAGGGGGTTGGGAGAGGAAGGGAGGGAGAGAGGGAGGAGGGGAGAAGAGAGACCAACTGACTGAGACAGACCGATAGCTCAGCATCTGTGCTGTTGTAGGGGACATAGGTTCAGTTCTCAGGATCCATATGAAGGCTCACAACTCAATCTTCTCTAACTCTATCTAGTTATAAAGTATTCAACAACCTCTTCTGACATCTGTGGACATCAGGCATACACAAAGTACACAGGCAAGCATACAGTCAAAACACCCATACAAACAAAGAAGTTTTAAAAAGAGGAAGTGAGCAGGCAAACTTGATTCAGGGTGAAAGAGCTGTGGTGCTTTCTTACCCAGGAGAGTCATGTGTGAGAAGTACAACTGCAGGCATTATTTGACAAGTCGAAAATTTAAGCAATGGAAAATTTAAGCAATGGTTCTTAAGAATGTCCAGACTGAGCCTGATATGGTATAGTCAATGCCTGTGATCCCAGTACTAGGCAAGCTACAGCACAAGGATAGCAAGTTCAAGGCCAGTCTGGGCTACTCAGAGAGGCACTGCTTCAAAAACAATCAAATAAACAAAAATAAGCAAACAAAAACCCTCCAAACAAATGAATGTCAACAGTGGGATGTGATGGAATTGTTGTTTATTTACTGCTATCCAAGGAGAGCCATTCTTGGGACTGAAGGCAGAAATACAACTAACTAAGTTTAGTATCTTACCAAGCAATGGATTAAGCAATTTGGTTTGTTTAAAAACTGGCTAAGTGCTAGGCGGTGGTGGCACACACCTTTAATGGCAGCACTCAGGAGGCAGAGGCGTGTGGATCTCTGTGAGTTCCAGACCAGCCTGGTCTACAAGAGCTAGTTCCAAGACAGCCAGGACTGTAGGATAAAGAAACCCTATCTAAAAACAAAACAAAACAAACAAACAAACAAACAAACAAAAAGAATTTCAAGGCTGGGTTTGGTGGCACAAACCTCTAATCCCAGCACCGGAGGGGGACGTAAGCTGATTTCTATGATTTCCAGACCAGACTTTGTTTGTTTTAGATAAGCAAACAAACCCCAAACAGAGAATTTCAGAATCCCAAATATTCTGAGCAACAGAACAGAACGTTAGCAAAAATAAACTGCATATAACACAGCTACCTAAAATGATGTGTTAGTGATGGATGTTCACATGATACACTGGTTGGGGGAGTGGGAATCAGACCCATTACCTTTAATTTCCTGTCTACAAGATTTTCCATTGCTTGATTTTTTTCACAATAAGTATTATAGGTCTTTATGTAGTTAAAAAGGTTGTGCCTTTATTAGTTCAATCAATCCCGATGGCACATTTACCCAGAGTTTAATTGGTTTTTATGAATATGGCAAAGCAGTCCTAACACCAAGCTGCAAGCTGCCTCTGGTTTAGCACAGGTAGGCAAGAGGCAGAGTGACTCACCTGTGGTGGAGGGAAGCGCTGCTGGGAGTAAGCAGTTTGCTGGGACTGCTGAGGCTGGGGCTGAGGGTATGCAGCCTGCTGGGAGAGCGTCGAGGATGCTGGCTGCTGAGGTTGCTGCTGCTGGTAGGGAGACTGTGCCTGCGGTTGTGAGTAGGGGGGCTGGCTCTGGGGATGCTGTTGTGCAGTGGACTGCTGGGAGGGGTACGGAGTTGGGGACTGCTGATGTGGAGGCTGGGACGGCTGCTGGGAATACGGAGGCTGAGAGGACTGAAGCTGTGGCTGCTGAGTCTGCGGCTGCTGCTGATATGAAGGCTGCGCATGAGGGGTCTGGGATGGTGGCTGCTGGGAGTAAGGTGGCTGTTGTTGCTGGGGATGAGGACTTTGCTGGTTATAGTATGGAGTCTGGCCCTGCTGACCATACCCACTGGGGCCTTGCTGTCCATAAGGTGGAATCTACAAGAAAGAAAAGATACTTTTAGGACTGCCTCACCTAGATGAAGAAAGGTGAGGAGTGATGCCTGAACAGGAATAAAGTAGCCAAGCCTCATCTCAAAAAAAAAAAAAAGTTCAGGTTTCTTCTACTACCCCTCTCTAAACAAGCCATAAAGAATGGCTTGTTTACACATAATACTGAATTCACCCACTAAAAAATGATGTCACTTAATAGTCCAGCAACTCACATGAGCTCAAGAAGTTATTTTCAGTGAGGCTATTCTTTTTTATCATGGCCTAGGTTGTTTTTATTTTGGGAATTTTATCCTAACCACAATTAAGAGGGACTAGGAACCTGGTTCAAACAATTGAAAGCCCAGTGTTTAACAATCTGAATGGTATACAAATCACTGAGCTACCTTGGGTCTCTTTCATTTAGGCTTCATTTTAAAAATATTCAGGTCAGGGGTGGAATTTGGGGAGCCCCGTGGAGGGCCCTACCCTCCATGGGGAGGGATGGGGGAGGGGGTTAGTGGGGGGTTGTGAGGCGAGGGGAGTGAGAGGATGAAGGGATTGACATGTGAAACAAGCTTGTTCCTAATTTGAACTAATAAAAAGAAAATATTCAGGAATGATAGAGTTGCTGTATTTCCCTAGCACACAAGAAGTCCCCAATACTACATAAACTAAGCAGGATGGATAGAGCTTGCCTCTAATTCCATCCCTCTACTGGTGACCTAGACGAAGGAAGATCAGGAAGTTCAAGTTAGAGGCCATCCTGAAACCTGAGGTCCGAGGTTCTGCCTTAAAAAGGGGGTGAGGGGGAAACACAGGACACAACACAAGTAAAGAACTCTATTTCATCTCTCACTTTTCTCATAGAAAGATACAAGGGAATGATGGTGCACACCTTTAATCCCAGCACTTGAGAGGCAGAGGCACCAGAGGCCAGCCAGGTCTACACAGAGATGCTGCTTCAAAAAAAAAAAAGCAGCAGCAGCTGAGCAGAGTGGTAGTGCACACCTTTAATCCCAGAACCCAGGATTAAAGGCAAGCGGATCTCTGAGTTCGAGGCCAGCCTGATCTACAGTTTGAGTTCTAGGAAAACCAGGGCTACACAGAGAAAACCTGTCTTGAAAAACAAACAAACAAACAAAAAAAAAAAAGAAAGAAAAGAGTATGCACTTCATTTCTGTATTTAAAGACATTATTCACTCTCAAGTTTTAGAAATAATTTCAGGCGTCATACACTGTCCTTACCTTTTTGTTACTCAGACATAAATGGCAGAAAATCTGCCAACACAAAAACAAAAATGAAAAGATGATAATAGATATCATGGCCAGCAATATGGATTAACAGGTAAGATACTTGCCACCAAGCCTGATGACCTGAGTTCAATCCCTATTTGAGCAAGTTGTCCTCTGCTGTGAAACCTGGCATCTTGCCCTCATCCTCAAGTAAGTAATAATAATGTAATTTTTAAAAACGTGACAGTGCAAGGGCAGAAGAAATGGCTCAGTGGTTAAGAGCACTGGGTGTTCTAACAGAGGTCCCGAGTTCAAATCCCAGCACCCACATGGTGGCTCACATCTATCTATACCTAGTTCCGTGGGAACACCCAAATGTATACATAAAGGTTTATAAAAAAAAAAAAAAAAAGTGACAGTGCAAGGTCTGGGGGTGATGCTCAGAAGCAGGGTCCCATCTAGTATGATTGAGGGTTTAGGCTTGTTCTCAGCCCCGAAACCACCCCCCAAAAAAAATCCCGCAAAAAACAATGGTTTGAATAATCAGAAGTCTCCTCTGTAACAGCACTGTTCACGTCTATAATGTTCATCATAGGCCCCTCTTTCTTTACACACCAAGTCCTTGTTAAACATTCTCTGTGACCCAGGCAGCTTATGTTGGTGAAGGGCTTCCCCACCCATAAGGCCAGCAGCACAAATGGTTTCTACTGTAGTAGCAATAAACAGGTATTCAGCCATGGCCTTCTACCATTTAGTCTCCCAAAGGAAGACAAGACCAGCCAGGTCAGGGAAAGGGGTGAGGGAGAAGACATGTAGATTGGGTTCAAACCCTAAGATACGTTGAAACAGACAGAAAGACAGACATACATAGGGTGGTGTGCACTATCTTGTTCTTAGTTAGCCTATGTGCATATCAAGAGAAGGCCTGAAAGCCATTCTAATCCTCAAACACCGATTTTAGACAGCAAAGGTCGAGGTCATCATATACCTGCTGTGCATAAGAGAGGCCGCCCATGGCACTCTGAGCCCGGCCCTGCATGGTCATTGGGTACCGCTGTGGAGTCTGGGACCCATATGGCTGCCCTGGGTACCCATGTCCTTGCTGCGGTCCTGAAGGAGGTCCCTGTTGTTGCGTGTATGGGTTAGTCCCACCATACGGCTGAGGTCTCATCTTTCCCATCTGATCCATTGGACTGGATGGCTACAAAATAAAGAATATTTTCATTAACCTCAAGTTTTGATGGCCTCTGGCCAGCATGAACATATAGTAGTCTTTTAAATTAAGCCTACATGCCAAAGTAGTCAGTCATTCAACTCTTTTCAGAACTTAGATTTTCATTAAAAATTATAATGCCATGTGAAAGCAGTTTGGAAGCTTCAAAAACAGATACAGAAGCATTCTAGAAAACTGAAAAAGAGGCTGATTCTATAGTCCATTAAACTTTTTCTTTGCATTTTTGTAATGCTATGGCACAAAGTAGTTCAATTTATGTCTTCTTCAAATGAACAACAAAGCTAAGTAATAGCTGTTGAAAGAACAGTAATGAATTTGGAGCCTTTGTTTATTTCAAGTGAAAATCCATTTCATTTAAAATTGAAGAATTTGAAAGTAAAAAAGGACAGAACTTTGTCTCTTCAAAGAGCAAAATATAGGACTGGAGAAATGCTCAGCAGTTAGCACTGGGTGGCTCATAACCACCTATAATTCCCAATGACCTCCTCATCTGGTATTAGCAGACACAGACACATCAACACACACACACACACACACACACACACACACACACACACACACACACACACACACACACCCACACACACACAACACAACACAAAAGAACCACACACACACACACACACACAAAAGAACACAGGATACGTACTCATCACACAAACACATAAATAAAAAAGAAACCTTTACATAAACAAGCAGTAAGTTATAAGCTGAGTATGGGGGCAAATGCCTGTAATTCGAGCACTTGAGAGGTAGACAGAGGATGATCAGGAGTTTCAGGAGTTCAAGTTCATCCTAAGACGCCAAGTGAGTTTAAGTCCAGTCTGGGTTAAATGAGACTCTAAAGTCTCAAAAAGCCAAAAGCAACCAAATACAACACCAATACAAAGCTCAAAAGTTCAAAGCACAGACATCAATGTACAAATACAGCTTTTCTAGCTGGGCATGGTGGCTCACACTTGTAATCCTAGCATTTAGGAGGCTGAGGTAGGGGGAGGTGCTGTGCATTTGAGGTGACCCTTAGCTACATAAGAAGTTCTGGGCCAACTTCAGCTGGTAATGAGACCCTGTCTCTGGATGGATGGGTGGACGGACATATGACTTTCCAGTCCTTTATGGTGCTCATTCACTTTCTGACATGGTTTCATCCTACTGAAGCTACAAAGACCACTTCCCTAACATACTTTCCTCTGCCAGAGATGCCTGCCTGTATCTACTGGAGACATGAAGAGGGAAGAATTCTTCTAAATAGCTCTCAAATAAACTCAGTTGGAAGATAGGTTCAGAGCCATAAACAAAATATGGAACAGAATCTTAGTTGTGGGAATAGGTGGTAAATTTAAAGTATTCTAAGTGTAAATATCATTAATTTTCAAATCAATTGCATACATCAAAATCACCTGGAGAGCTTGTCAAATCACAGACCACTAGCATCAATCTGTGATTCAGAATGGTTCACAAAGGGCCCAGAATATGCATATTTGTAACAAGCCTAGTAGTAGGTTCTAGTTCAAGTTCCAGTTTTGGGGAGGATGGGGGCTCAATGTGAGTGGTTGGAGGCGACCTAGAGGTCTAGGTCATCCTGAGGGTTCTTTTTTAGTTCCATTGTTCAATAAATAAATTACTTGATAATATAAACTGTGCTCCATTTAAACAATTGCTTGCCTCTTCCTTCTTCCATTCTTCTCCCCTCTTGCATGTTTTTATTATACTAGAAGAGGTAGAGCTATTGTGAAGAAATATCCAACTATCAAGTACAACACAACAACAAAACCCAAAAAACCCAGGAGCTAGTGGAAGGGATATGGTAGTGCACACCCATAACCCCTGCCACTTAGAAGCTGAGGCAGGAGGGTCACAGAATCAAAGCCAGCCTGGTCTATATATAGCAAGTCCTAAGCCAGCCAGCCAGGGCTACATAGTTGTAGTTTTGTTTGTTTGTTTTCAAAGAGAAACAAAATGAAGCAGAGAGGCAAAGTTCTCTTAGGCTATGGATAAATTTCAACTAAAAAGGTAACCATGTTAATGGGAGTACTTCCTTCCCAAAGGAGAGAATCACAGGATTCACTGGATTACCCTTCAGTGTTATTCCAGGGCTATTTCCAACAATCTTAACTTCTATACCAGAAGCCCCAGTAATGGTCCCAATCAGAATTTTGTAACCTACATGGGTTATTTTGGAACCATTTAGGACATTCTAGTTTAACAAAAAAAAAAAAAACAGGCTAGTGAGAAATACCACAATTTCCCCCAATATTATTGGCAATGGTACAAAGATTGGGAGGCAGTGTCCAAATGCCACACATCGTACCTACATCATCTCATCCCAGGTTACAGGGGCTGTCTGAGGCCCTCAATTGAAGAGGGCAGTATTTTCTACACAGAGAGACCAGGCTCTGGCTATGTGTCAGACTAGGCCTGCCCAGAACCCAGGAGCAGTTATTAACATGGTGTTACTATGGAGCTTCTATAGCAATGGCTATTAACAGCTGAAGATGAGAGTTTTCCATGAGTTTCACAAATGCCCAGGCCTCAAGGTTCCAATTTTGTTGGTGTGCGAGGGCTTGAGCTTCCCCCCACTTTAAATCCATGTATGATTCTGATGGAGGTGATTAGCTGGAAACCAGTGATCCAGTAAAGCATATTCAATAAAATGGACCAACTGTGATGTATTACTACTACACACTTAAAATATAAAACGTAACTGGGGAACTAAATCATTTGCCGCCCCCCCCCCCCCGACAGATTTTGCTACATGGATACCAGGCTAACCTCAAATTGGCACTCTCTCCTGCCTTAGTCCCCAAAGTATTGGGATTAAAGGTGTGGACTTTTATATTTAATTCTATTGCATTTATTGTTGTTTTTTTTGTTTTTGTTTTTTTGTTTGTTTGTTTTTTTTTAAGACAGGGTTTCTCTGTGTAGCTCTGGCTGTCTTGAAACATCTGTATACCAGGCTGGCCTCGAACTCAAGGGATTTGCCTGCTTCTGCTTCAGTAGCATTGAGACTAAAGGCGTGTGCCAACACGACCTAACTACTACTTTTATTATTTTTTACTTTTTTGCAGTCCTGGGAATTGAACACAATGCTTGATAAATGATAGATAAATATTTCACCACATTTTGGCCCTGGTTTTACTTTTTTGAGATAGGGTCTCACTAAGTTGCCCAGGATAACTTTTAACTTTAATTAATAGATTTATGTATTGTATGTGTATGAGTATTTTGCTCCAACATCTATCTGCCTATACACCATGTGCATGCCTAAAGAGGATGTTGAATTGCCTGAACTGGTGTTATGGTTATTAGTGAGTCACAATTTGGGTGCTGGGAATCAAACAGTCCTCTGCAAGAACAAGTGCTCTTGAAAGCTGAACCATCTCTTTAGCCTCTAACCTTAGAATTTGATGCTTCTACCTCAGCTTTGGAGTAAATAAAATTAAAGGCTGTGCTGCTAAGCTTGGCATTTTACTTGTATTGGTTTGTTTATTATTTATTAATTGCTTCTTTAAAGGCAGGCCCTTTAAATCGGGGTCTCAAGGCCTCAAACAATTTGACCTTGAACTGCTGATTTTCCTGACTCTGTCCAGCTTCCCTAAGTGCTGGGATTAAAGGCATGTGTCTCCATAACTATGTGGCACTTGGGATCAAATCCAGAGCAAAGCTAGCAGTGGTGGCCCTCACCTTTAATCCTAGCCCTTGGGAAGTAGAGGCAGGTGGATCTCTGTGAGTTCGAGGCCAGCCTAGTCTACAGAGTGAGTTCCAGGATAGGATCCAAAGCTATGCAGAGAAACCCTGTCTTGAAAAAAAACAAAAAGACCTCTACAAACCAAGCTATCCATATAATCACATATGGCTAGTGGCTACCCTACTACAATGTAGTTTGAGAGCAATGTTTCTAAATAATTTATTATTTCCTGCTAAATATGGCTCCAAACTTCCTATTAAACCCCACACAATATTAACATAATAGGAAGAATGAAGAGTGAAGTAATTTGATAGACTTTGATAGGATTTGATAGATCAAATCCTAACCCACTGTCTGGCCCTAAAATGGATATAATGAACACCTCACAGCCTGGTGTGGGGAGTTTACAGTCATTCATATCATCTCAGCACTGGGGAAGGTGAAGCAGGGGGATCACTATGAGTTCCAAGCAACCAAGGCTACCAAGTAATCTCTAAGCCAGTCTGAGGCTACAGAATGAGACAAAAAATAAGCTTCCCACAGTGATTGAATTTAAATGTTCAATAAATGATAGTTATTATTAATAATGACAAATTGTTCCCCCCTACAAGACTATAAATTTCAAGCTATATGTTCTGGGTTCCTGATTCTACTGTCTTATCCACAAAGGTGTATTTTCACCCCAGTGCTGGCAACCGTGTGTGCTCTCCCAATGTTCCATTCTAGACCTACGCTGGCCTCTAGTTGCACAACTCAACTTTTAAACAAAAACCTTTCACTTTCAGCACACTTTGAATCTTTCATGTCTTTCTAAATGACCTATTGTAAATTTAGTAGCAGTGATAACTGTTCCAAGAAACTGGCTGTATTTCTGAAGTCCAAGTTAGTTTTGCTTTGTTTTGAAATGGCAGGGAATCTCACTTGCCTAAATTCCACTTGAGTTCCTGGACTCAAGACTCCAGAATAGGGAGGAGGGAATAAGAGGAGGCTAGGGAGGGGAAAATGTAGTCTGAATGTAAAATAAAATAAATACTCCAGAATAGCGGGAATTACAGGCATACACTACCACTTTGGCCAAGTTCTGGGACACGAGAGTTTAGGAATTTTATGTTCAAAGTCTTCTCAATAACTGTAGTACAGGGCTTGGTAACTGTTAAACTGCAATGATGTCTGTCTACTGTAGAGAGAAAACACAGTTCAAACTATCCACCTAAAATAGGCTATGACTTTGTGGGCAGAGGGAAGAAATGAACTGGACTCAATTTGAGGGGGGTGGGGT